GTGTTTTCAACAGAACACGATTATTATTCATTTCTGAATATAAAATACGTTCCGTTTTTTCAGACTTGAAGAAAATCCTAAAATTCATCAACTGAAAAATTTAAGAATATGTTCTGAATATAAAATTCATCGAACAGGGCTGCCTGGGTGACTCAGTGGGTTGAGCCTCTGCCTTCGGTTCAAGTCATGATCTCAGGGTCGTGGGATCGAGTCCCACATCGGATTCTCTGTTAGGCAGGGAGCCTGCTTCCTCCTCCCCCCCACCCCGCTTGCCTTTCTGCCTACTTGTGATCTCTCTCTGTCAAATAAATAAAAAATCTTATAAAAAAATTCATTGAGCAGTTGCTCACCTTCTTCCCTATTATAAGACTACCGACTCCAATGTCTTCTAATTACTTCTGAAAGCAAGCTCATTAGGTGTTAATGTGCTTGGGCACTTCTCCCTAACACCTGCTAAACTTGCTTAAAGTTACCAAAGCTCTTTACAATCTGAGTGAAGAGGAGAAGAAGCTGGATGTAGGGGTTCGGGGTGGGGAACAGCTGGCATGAATCCTAAAGCTTCCAGAGTAGGGAGTGTGAGGTCCACCGTGACGGGGACTACCTGAGAGGACACTATGTGTCATCTTCATAAAACAAATTTTAGGACCAATACTCTTATTCTCATAACATTCTGAATATTGATATATATGATAATTCATTCTTTGATGTATTAAATCGTCCAACAAATCTTGAAGAGCACCCATTACATATTGGGCACTCCACAGGGACCTGTAAGCAAAAATGACTGAAACAATATCAACAAGATTATTTCTATGTGAATCAAAATCTCATTTAGCTCTGGAGCAAAAGCTTTTCATAAATTGGAAATTCCATGCATTGGTATGTTCTTTACCATGTGAGATAGAACTATATTATTAAAAACTGTTTTTGCACAATTTGCAAACATAAATTATTATGTGACTAGCAATGCTGCATAAATACAGATTCATTTTCCATTACTTTCATGCTGGAAAACTAGAGAAAACGCTGGCAAACTTCCATTTAATGTAATGCAAAATATATGATGACAGTTCTGAAAATGTTTTTAGACAAAAATGAGAACAAATTTTAAGCTTTTTAAAACTTGGCCCAGAAGCGCAGGCCCATTAAAGCACTTTCAAGGAGAAACTTCACTTAAAATTAACAATAAACATTTGGAAAACAAGTTTAAAAAATCATATTAATATTAATTGATTTATAGGGCTATTGTTGAAAACAACCTGTTTCACAGACTGTACCATTTCCAGGATGATTTCCTTTGAAAAAGAATATAAACCAATGCCCTGTAGCTGAGCCAACCCAACAAAGGCAGGGCAATTAGCAGTTTGAAGATGGGTGTTGGGAAGAGTAAGGGACTGAAGTTAAATGATTTCTGAAACTACTTTTAGGAGACACTGTTTTCCTTGTTATTCTTCTTAAAGTTCACCATTTCAAAAGTTAAAATGGACTCTTGTTAAGAAGAGAAAATACGTCTGATTTCACGGTTGAAGAACAGACACAACTTTTTAGAGCACAGATCTACGGTAATCTTATCGTGAGAACTACAGATTAGATTTGCATCTAGAGAGGGCCTGGCATGTGGGGAGACTGAGATCACTTCCAGCAAATGAACGAATCTAGAGGCACAGCCTCTGTAAACACTTGCTGTGACCAGTGCCATAGGAGGGAACATGAATCTGGAGTGGGGATGCCCATCAGTAGCTGTGGGGTATTTGAGTCATACAAACTATGGTGTCTTAGGTTCCTCATTTAGAAACTGTGGATGAGAACAACTTTTGCAGGGTTGGTGTGTGGCTATTTGGTTAAATTTGCTATCCCTCCTGCAAATATCATCTCATTAAAATTTAACAAAATTTTTGGAGATCAGGGTTATTTTTTCCATTTTGTAGTTGAGAAAACCAAGACCAAGCAATGGAGGCAGGATTCAAACCCAAGCCCCACGGACTCCCAAGCTCACATCAGAGCAGCATACTACCTGTGTGTACGCTTCCCCAAAGGATTTTTACGTGTACAAGAGAAATATATTTGCCCCCTAACTTCCAGCTCCCAGATCCTTTAATGGGTCAAAAAGTGATATTCAGTACAAGTATGACACAGATACCCCTTTGCATAAGAACTTCAGAAGTGTGAGTTTTCATTGATTAGAACTCAGTTAAAATCAGAGCAAAAAAGCTTGCTTCCAACAGATGGCAACAGCAAATACACTTTAGATCTACAGACTCAGAATTAGCCTTTTTGACCCTAACATATTTATAGTAAGTTGTTTCTGTACATAAACACATGAGAAGATCCATAATAAGAATTCACTAAAGGCAATTTCTTTGAAAAATGTCAACCTAATTTACTAAAGAAAAACATACAGCTGAAGCTGTTTGCGAGGAATAAGATGAACAGCCTCTATTAATGCTAATTGGAATTCTCATATCCACATGTACAATGCAGAAAATTTACTTCTACACTTACTCTTCCTGCCTCAAAACTGCAGTAAGTCCACACCAAAATGCTGGCTTTTAAATCTGAGCATTAATGCATGAAAATTGATCATTTTTCTTATGATTATATTTACAAATTGACAAATTACAGATGGAATCTTACTCTTTACAAAACAGACGAGGTCTTCATTGTTATTTAAAGGAGGAAAACCTGAATCTCCTGGCAAAGTTAGGAATTTGTTTCAAAAGCTGAACTTTCCCATTTCTCAGTGTTTGCCACTTTAATAACATCCTTTCGACAAACGCGAATGCTAGTATATTTGGGCAAGATGGTTTAATATTTTAACTCCCATAAATAAACAAACACACAAAATTAAATGAGTGGTGTACTTTTCCTTATGTCCACAATGACCGGTCATATAAACATATTCCATTTGTAAGTTTACTAATATCTACTGGAAATATCTTTGTATTAAGTCTCTAAATACTTGGGACCATGGTATTGTCTTGTTCTTTCAGGATAATTCAAAAAACTAAACTCAGAATTTGCATCAATTCATCAAGTCAAGCCCTGGAATGCTAATTAACCTTAACCTATTTATTATTAGAGATAAAAATAATGTATAATATTTTCAATAAATAAAACTTGAAGCATGTTACTCTCTCTTCTTCACCGATTAACAACAAAAGATGAGTTGTCACCTGAGGCAATTAGAAATTATGTCCTATTGCAATTTAAAAGTCAGAAGAGGTGTGGGGGGTTGGGAGGGCCTGGTGGTGGGTATTAAGGAGGGCACGTATTGCATGGAGCACTGGGTGTGGTGCATAAACAATGAATCTTGGAACACTGAAAAAATAAAACTAAATTAAAAAAAAATAAAAGTCAGAAGAGGCTAAGAATCACACATAAACAGAGTTTTCATGGAAAAAATACAAATTTTAGTTTAGGAATATCACAGTTATGAAAAAAAAAATGTCTTCCCAGAATACTCCAGATGGTTAATTCTTGCTTAGGTTTTCAACTGAAGGGTGTATCAAATTGAAAGAGCTTACCTGTACAGTGGTGAGTCAGGTACTATACTTGAGCTAGGAGAGTTTTTGAGGATTTAGTAAGGAGAAGTAGCTCTTGCTGCTGTAGCATACTTGGGCCTAATATTAGCATCGCTGGCCATGGAAAGAATTGCTGACACTCTGACTAAGGCCTCTTGGAGATTAGAGAAAATGCCAACTAATTTCTCATTCTATCAGAGTAAGAAGTGGAAAGCTATTCCCTCATTCATTCAACAAAAAGTTACTGAGCCTTTATTTTATATATGCCATATATTATACTGGTGTCCATATGGAACTTAGAATCTAGTTGTGTAAGAAGACATGTGTGTAATGAACTAAGTTAGGAATCAGAACAGCATGGTAGTACATGTAGGGTAAGAGCAGGGCAGAAAACAAGTTATATTAACATGTGAGTACTGAGAGACACACAGTGTAATCTCTGAATTGCTATATTACTATCAAAATTCAAACACCTGTAGTTTTCCATTACACTTTATCATGAAGAACAGCATTATTGCTAGTTAAAATAATCGAACCTCTAAACTTAGAGAATTCTATTCAGTTATGTAAACAAAAATTTAAAATAGTAAAGCAATTTATGACTATCTGTAAATAACATTAAAAGGAAATGGTATGTCCTAGAGAGGAAAAAGACAAGTTTAATGAATTGAGGCGGGGGGCACCTGGGTGGCTCAGTGGGTTAAGAGTCTGCCTTCAGCTCAGGCCATGATTCCAGGTTGCTAGGAATCAAGCCCCACGTCAGGCTAGGAAGTCTGCTTCTCCCTCTGCTCCCCCTCCCCTACTTGTGCTCTCGCTCTCTCAAATAAATAAATTAAATATTTTTTAAAAAAGAATTGGAATTAAAGATGATCTCTGGTTTATTTAAAGCACTGTTTTGCATTGTTTTTTCTTATAAAATTGAGGTCTATTTTTTGGTTGTTGTTTATTGGTTATAAACATTTTTCTGTATGTATCAATTAGGTATACTCATATATACACTCAAACCGACAAGGTTCCCAATAGGGGTGATCATATGTGACACTCTCTGCAAAGTGAACATATTGTCCCAGGGGTCCTGAAGTATTATATCAAGGCAGCCCTTGACATTTTTCCAAGTGGAGAGCACTTCTGAGGGCATGTCACAATTAATTAGACAGGATGGCATTCTATTTTAGTAATGGTTTTGTGTACTTCACTACACAAAGAACTAACCAGCTGATAATAAAAATGCCCTTCAGAGAAGGGCTTAAGATTGGAGACTAGCTGCACAAGGGAGAAAAAGTTTCTTATACGTTTTTTGTTCTTATAGCCTAAAGTACTTAATGACAACATTTTGTACACGAAAAGATAATGAACAGTGTTCAGCTACACAGGCCAGAAGGAAGACAACAAAGGAAGTCTAATCATATAATTAAAAAACTTATCAAAAACAAGCCGCAAACATCTCCCCCTCCAGTATCATCAAAAAGCCAAACTTACCTGATCTACCATCCAGAGGTCCAAAATCCAAGGAATATTTCACAACGTGATAGTTATTCCATACGTAAAGAAGGTTGTCTCTGGGGTTGTAATCCACAGCTGCTATGTACTGGTATGAATTGGGAAAGGGGACGTCCACCAAACTATCTTTACTCTGGTCGGTGTTGTAAATGTAGTCAATCTTATTCCCTGTGGCCTCATTGTCGTCATCCTCGTAGACCGATCTGACCACATACAGAATCCCGCAAATCATAAACGCGTTGGAAGCGGATCTTTTATCGTACGCAGTATCCCATGTCCCTTCAATCCGTAGGGTATAAGGGTTCAATTGACTAATGACAATTTTACCATTATTTTGTTCTGTTGCATAGATCACCCAGAGCCCATTTTCATCCACTGCCAGGTCTATGTCAGATTTGCCTCCCCATCGGTAAGGGGAGGTATCGTGGTAATTGGCGTTTGCTATGATCGCCTCTCCGCTCTTTATCCTAGTCCGCAAATCAAACTTTACTATGTTCCTGGTGCGCTCTTTGTTGAAAAACAGAGCTCCGTCATACACTACAAACCCTGTGCCATCCACCCTGTGTGGGAGCTTGTAGGTTGTAGTAGGTCTTCCGGCGATGAAGTCGTCCTTGGAGGAGTACTCAGTGAGGGTGTCGGTTCTGTAGGGCGTCCAGGGCATATAATAAATCTTGTCAGAAGCCTGCAGAGGGTCTTTGCACCATGCCCCAGACTGGTGGTCGGATTCAAACAAGTGTTCACTCTGGTATACTCCTTTCAGTAGTCCAGGACAAAGAAAAACTGTTGAAAGGGAAAGAGTTAAAATAATAAACATATTAATTTTAATATTTTGTTAGAGATTTCTCTTTTTCACCAAATGGAATGTAACTCTAACAAGATATACCCACCACCACTTAATTCTTTCGTTGCGTTCTTCTGAGTACACATATGAATTCTGACTTTTGCTCAAAATCATTTTGATTTCATTTGCTGAAAAATGTGGCCTCTCTAGGAGTACTTGTGTTTTCCTTTGATTTTTACCTTTGTAAACATGTGATACTATATTTTTGGATATATATATATATATATATATACATATATATATATATATACAGGTGTGATGTATGTCTCTGTATTCTATAGACATAAAATAAATACAAATGTTTTTACATAATATTTTATGTATCTTATTTGAAATTAAATATATTGTTTTCACTCTGATGTTAGCCCCTCAATAACTTATCATTAAGACATAAATAGAAATCCAATACTAATTAAGTATAATAATAAAGGAAAAGAAAAGCCCTATAATACAGGCCACTGAATCTTCTAGCAAAAAAATAAAACAAAACCGGAAAACATCTTAAAGCTACTATAGCACACACAGAGCATGCAACCCACACAATTAAAAATGGGTGATGGATGGATACTGGGAGGAAAAAGAGAAAGGAAGAAAAAGAAAGGAAAGAAGGAATAAGGAAAGAAGAAAGGTGAAAGGTTACAGAGAAAAGAACCCAAGATCTAGATTTTAATCAGTTAAAAATGTCCTGTTAAATACAGTAGTATTGGAACTTAAAAACATGTACCTTTTACTGTTACATGAGAAGAACATTAAAAAACAAGATTACTTGCTACAATATTTTGCTGCTCATACTTCAGATTGAAAATGGGCAGGAATTATCTGATTCACTTCATTTTTAGTATGATTCAGTAGCACACTGTGTGAACAGTGGTAAGCAGCCCCGGCCGGCCTGTAATGCAGGGGCTATAAAGCAATGTTTCCCAAAGAGTGGTCCTTGAAGCACCTGTTTCAAGTGGTAGAACTAGATGTTACACAGAAAGAAAATAGGGATCCTCAGCCGTGTTTAAGAGATAGTATATTAAATAGAATTGTGGCAGAGATTCTAATAGCTTTGGCATATCAGTGAATCTCCCAGGCAGGAGTGAGGAAGATGAACAAATTTCACAATCTAATTTAATCACGGAACCTTTTCTACAGAGCCTGTTTAAAGTGTAGTGTTCTGTTGAACCTGCTATGGGAAACACTGCTCTAGTATTTTTGCCAAGCAAATACACTGAAAAATAATCATGCAGTCCAATGTTATATTTGAAATGATTAGAAGGGTACTGGGTGGAGAAATTAAGAAATCATAAGGAATTCGGATGTTGAACCATATTTTAATGATTAAAGTATTATTCTCTTAATATTAGTTATTAGCTCTTTAACTGCAACTATAAACCTAGACCCAATGGAAAATGAGCTAAGATAAAACTCAGCTAGGATGTGCAGGTTATTAAAAAGGAGAGTGCACTATTAAAATGTCCGAAGTTTTACTTTTGTAGAAATGAAAAGTTCAAGGGCCAAGCTGACCACCAAAATCTTCCATAGCAAGGATAGAGGGCTTTCATCAATTTGTACTCAATAATAAAGTTGATGATTAGAAGAATTTCTAATATGATGCCTATAATTATAAAGAATGGAGAGGCATTGTTGTCAAAATTGCATATAAACTTTAAGTTGGTTAATAATGAGCCCATCATTACTAAAGTAATTTATTAGAAGGTATTTCAGAAAACTGTCTCCCCTTTTCCCCCAACAGTTAAAAATTAATAAAACGGGGAGACCACACCAGAGCTATGGAAAATTATCTAGTATGGAAATAAAAGCAAATTTAAAGCAGTCATATCCACCATTTACTGGATTTTCTAACTACTTATTTAAAAGTAAAGAGGAAGAAAATGCACGGTTGAAAATTTTACATGATTAAACTGTTTTAGGATAAAAGGATCAAACCAGCACTGGTCATCACAACAGATTAAAGTGAAGTTGAGCAGCAGAAGTAGTAAATAAATTTTCATAAAATAGATAAGAATTAATACAAAATTATTTTAACTAAATGTTAAACTGTTAAATAACTTAGCCTATAAATAGTATATAATTTATGAAAGGTATTTAATTACCTTTTTGTTCCACTTCTATTGGAGAGAGAGAAGTACAGAGAGAAAGGAGAAAAGAGAATAGATTAATGGTACGGTATTGGCCAAGCACTTTTTATTCACCTCTTCTAAACTGAAAGTAAATCATTTATTTCACTCATACTTGCTTTTTGAACATAGGTTTTTTTCTTAAACATGCCCCTAGTAAAATTATTTTTTTAAAAAAGCAATCATATTATAAACTTAAAAACACAGTACAGACTTAGAACACATAAGGCAAAAGTTATTCAAGCTAAGATTGAAAAAAACATACAATTTCGAACTATAGGCATAGGACATAGAATATTCATAATAAGAACACCAATGTTTCCCTTCAAAAGTTAGGAAGGTAAGTATACACATAAAGCTTTCAAATAGCTTGACTAGTCTCATTTATAAAATATTATAGTTTATAACACTATTTAACGTAATAGTCTTGATTTTTGCCCATCTCAAGGATTCAGAAGAAATTACTCTGAACTCGTTTCCTAAGCCTAAGATTTTCCATGTCAGTCTTAATGGGAAATAAACCTCATGAGGCCACACATTAACAGGAAATGCTCTCATCCTAAGTAAATGGATTCAGAATCTTTATAGAAGAAACTTCTCTCCCTCCCACTTTCCAATATTTGATATTGTGGAAAAATATCTTTCAGAAAAATCTGTTATCAGAAGGTTGATATAAATAATGAGTCACCTATTCTGGCCTTTTCTGAAATTCTTAACAAAGGCAACATACCTTTGTAAGAATAAATTGAAATCCTCAGCCGTGTTATGGCTATGCATGTCTCAAATTAGATCCCATTTTTATTTTTTAAGGTACTGATCAATACAAGTCAGGAAAAATTCTGGGAAATTGTAACATATCCATGTATCTCACCAAGCAGCATCTTGTTTCTCTTACAAGCATTGTCTCATCAGAGACAATTTGCCTAAATCATAAAAAAGAACAGGGACCCACAAAAAACAAGGGAAAGAGCTGGGGAAAATGGGTTCATAACACAAACTTAAAAATTACAGATTGCAGTTGATATAAATCTAGAAAAAATTCAATGGAATAGATTAACTGAAATATTACTGCACAATAAATAAAACTCTAGGGAAGTTTCGAAATAAGGGAGAAATACTGTTTTGGTAATTATATTTGGGTGAGATTTTTTTGCACTTTGATCTAAGCTCTTGTGTCCTCTGTTGTCAAATCACACTCATTTTTCTCCACTGACTTTTTGAAAGCCCAGTATTACATGTGTTCAAAGATCAAACTAGCCTACATCAGATGTTATGCTTGGGATACCCGGGGAGGTGGGGTGGGTGGGGGGCTCAGTTAGTTGAGCCTCCGACTCTTGATTTCAGCTTGGGTCCTGATCCCAGCTTCCTGAGGCCCATGTCCTCAGGCTCCATGCTCAGCGGGAAGTCTGCTTGAGATTCTCTCACTCTCCCACTGCCCCTCCCTCTCACTCAATCTCTCTCTCTCTAAAATAAATAAATCTGAAAAAAAAAAAAGTTATGCTCAAGAAGTTGCAAATGGGTTTTTTTAAAGATGTCTCATCTCATTAATATACAAATCTTATTTTAATAGTATTTCTAGGATTCTTAACAACTCTGTTTATACTATTGTAATCGATCATCTTTTTCAGTCTTTATCGAGCGACTGCCGTATTCACTGGATTATATGCCTCATTACAGGTCAGTTAAATGCTTTACTTAGGAGGTGCACTTCATTTTGTGACTAGAATACTCACGATCTGAATACTCACAGTCTGAGTTCAGACTGACAACTAAAGGAAGCAGAAGAAACAACCTTCAGAAATTATTTAATTGGGGTGTCTTGGTGGCTCAATGGGTTAAAGCCTCTTCCTATAGCTCAGGTCATGATCCCAGGATTCTGGGATCGAGCCCCGCATCGGGCTCTCTGCTCAGCAGGGAGCCTGCCTCCTCCCCACCGCCCCCCGCTGCGCCTGCCTCTCTGCCTACTTGAGATCTGTCAAATAAATAAATGAAATCTTTAAAATATATATATTTAATCAATGGTCTCGAAAGTTTGGACTCCAGACACATTACAGTGAAAGTGGAGACTGAGAGTGGGAAGTCGACATTTTTCACAACTAGACTATAAAAATACAGATAGAACTAATTTTGTTCCTTGAAATACTTCTAAATATATACACTTTTGAGAATTGTATGCAGAGGATTTGTACTCTTTTTTTTTTTCAAGATTATTTATTTATTTGTTTGACAGAGAGAGAGAAAGCACAAGCAGGAGAAGTTGCAGGAAGAGAGAGAGGGAAAGGAAGAAGCAGGCTTTCTGCTGACTGGGGACCCTGAACCAGGGCTCGATCCCAGGGCCCTGGGATCATGACCTGAGCCGAAGGTAGATGCTTAACTGAACTACCCAGGTGCCCCTTATATTCTGAAGCATAAAGTGTATACACACACCACTTAAGTTTTATTTCACATAATACTCATTGTCTTATTCTTTTTTTTTTTTAAGATTTTATTTATTTATTTGACAGAGAGAGATCACAGGTAGACAGGCAGGCAGAAAGAGAGAGAGAAGTAGGCTCCCCGCTGAGCAGAGGAGCCTGATGCGGGGCTCGATCCTAGGACCGTGAGATCATGACCTGAGCCGAAGGCAGAGGCTTAACCCTCTGAGCCACCCACGCGCCCTTCATTGTCTTATTCTAAAGCACAGTTATCCTAACTTCTTGGGGACTCGTATTTCTTCAACAAACAATGAGGAAGACGGGATATGTGATACAAAACATTGATAATGGCATTTATTATTCTGTAAATATCATCTTACTATTTAATCGATATTGTTTTTTCAAAGAACTTTTCCATCCATTTTCTCAGTCGTCATTAGGTAAGATTTTACTTTTAATTCTCTGGTCTTGGTCTAATTTGAGATAAACTGGCATCAGTCATAGCATAAGTAAAGTTTGCTTCTCTTACTTGCAGGTTATTCAAAATTAAGATTTATTAGGCAGTTTCACTATGGAGAAAATTATTATGTTCTTGCCTATGTCATGACTGGCTGTAGCTCATTTATCATTTATTTGCTATTTTCAAGACTCAAATAAAACAATCCTGTAATTTAAGTGGAAACAAGCACACACAAATCATATTCCTGTAACAAAAACTGGCAAGGCAAACATAATTTGTCACTGAAGAGCTTAGTAATATTTAGGATTAACCGGTCACTGTCATCATCTAATTCTGATTCTAGAAGCTTCTTTCCCCTGGGGGACAAAAATACTCACACAAACAAATTATATGGATACAAGTTAACACCTTTGCCACTAAATGCTTCATAACCTCATAGTGCCCGGCACTAATAATAAATACTCAGTGAACAGCTCCTGAATTAATACATAATCCAAATCGAGGTGATTACTATTTTAAGCATGTAGCAAAAAGAAAAGATGGTGAAGGGAACCTGGATTTGCTCTACACAGTCATACATACATGATATTATCTGTACAATGTCTTTGTATATTTTAATGGATGTGGTGGAAAGTACAATTTATGAGCCGTATGTATCTCCACCCTATTAAGTGTAAAACTGGAGGGAAAAAAAGAAAATAAGAAAAACTGTAAGAAAATAAGAAAAAAAGAAAATAAGAAAAACTGTATGGATAATCTTGAGGATTATATTGGCAAGAAGAAAGTGTTGCTATAAAACAGTCTGCAATGATCTAAAAACACAGACCAAAAATACTCCCTTTTCTCTTCTCTGTAATGAGATCATAAATAAATGAATTGTACGATGACATCTGTGCTCAGCCTTCTTCAGTACTCCTGTCTTTTGATCTGGTCCAATATCCTGAATTCTGGCATTATAGCTGTCATTGTTCATTTCCAATTCTCTCTGGAACTAGTTACTCTCTTTTTCGCTCTTCACTTTTAATCCCCGAACTATTTTTATTGTCCATTCAGCCTCTGCAAATACGTTTATATATTTCCTTAAAGTGATTTCATTGTTGTCCTTTGTCAAACTTAATGTCATAAGCTATATCCTGCGGTTAGAGTAAATGACAAATTCAAACTAAGGGTAATTTTATTCTGTATAAAAGGCAGAAACAGAAAAAAAAAAAAAAGACTGGTAAAATTTCCCTTCATTTCCCAACAGTTCATAAAAGAGATATAATATATAGCCAATAGCCATATTATTGTTTAGAAAAATAAGATGTTATTAGTTCTATCCATATCTGTACCATATGCAGCACTTTTGAATCGCATTTTTTAATTAGAAAAGGTATGGATGAGAGAGCGTATGCATGCATTGCCAAGCTCTTCCAAATTACGTTGCAAATTACAGAGAAATAAAATTGTTGTGTGCTAAAAACTGTTAGAACTAAATTGTCATAACTAAGAACTATAAAATTGTGTCGAATTCTAGTGTAGCTTAAATTTTCTTTTCTTTTAAGCTGTAAGTCAAACCATACATTTTCCATGTTATATAATCCAATGATGCCTCTGAAATATAAATAAAAAACACAGGGAACACAAGATGGTTATAGAACATTAAATAATGTATAAATAGCTATTTTTATCATTGAAATTTGGTAGTATTTTGAAGAGTATTATTTTCTTGGTTACATCTGGCTTGGACTATTAAAATACATTTGGACCACACTTGTCACTAGCCAGCTGGGCAGTGAAGGAGACAACAAAAAGGCAAACTAATTAAGCAATAAGAAATCAGTCTTGGATGAAAATTTGCTGGTGTATCATCCATAAAAATAGCCATCTATAAGTGGATAATCAAAAGTTTACAATAATAATGTCACTTGTATAGCACTTTGTAACTTAACAAAATGTTTTCACATGAATCACTTGATTTAATTCTTCAAACACTGTGATGTGGTATTTATTACTCCCATATCAGAGATGAGTCAACCAAAACCCAAAAGGTTAAGGGATTTGACCAAGCACAATACTGGTAGAGTCTGTCATTTATCTAACATACACCGGCTCTTACAACATGCAAACTCAGTGAA